TCGCACTCGCGCCCACTGCAAGTCTGAATGCCATTTGGACCTGGCCAACCCGTAGCCATCGCGCCCTCGGGCTCGAAGTTCGAATCGCCCCCGATCAGAGGGGGGAACTTCTGGGCACCTAGGAACGCAGCCAAGACTTCCATCAACTCCAAATCCCCCCCCCGCCGGGGGCCCGAGAGAATCGACCCCGCGGACGGAGCCCGCAATCACGCAGGAGCGCGCTTCCAGCGTGACGAAGCGGAGCAGGGCACGACGCTGCCATCGAGGCGGCACCCGAAGAACTGCCGCCCCCACTCCCAGGCCCACGCAATGCCCAACTACTGCTGAAAGGGCTCGCGCTGCCGAGCCCGCTCGCTGAACAGGGCCCAGGGCCAACATCCTGGCGCCTGTGCGCGACCACTGGTGGGCCCCTGCTTCCGCGCTGCAGTCCACGGCCGTCTCTTGACCGCACGACGCGCGCGGCATCTCGACGCGCTTCTCGATCCATGGCATCGCAGATCTGGCTCGAGCCCAAGCGCTCGCATTGACCGCCCCGACCGCGAAGCGCGATCAGCAATCGTTCGCGGGAACTGCGATCTCACAAGCCAAGCACAACGCAATTGGCTCTCGAGCCTCTGCTTCGGCAAACTCAACGGCAGACGAGTGAGCTCGAGGGCTCGAGGGCGTAGTCGCCACGGGCGCAGTCTGAGGCGACGCGCTCGCGTCTGCCTCCTGCAGGGCCTGCCTCCACGGCCCCCCAAGGACCGCGCGCCCCTGGGCGGGGGGGTCTGCCCCGTCTCCAGCGGCGTCTCCCGCGGCGCCCGCCCGCTGGAGCCTCCGAGTCGCAAACGAACTCGAATCCGCAGATGCCGCCCTCGAATTCCTGGAGGCCCCCGAAGTAGTCAAGGTCGAAGGCCCACTCCTGGATGAACCATTCTACGAGGCCGCCCACGACGCCGCCATCAACCTAGAAGTCGCCGGCGACGCGGGCTGGGAGCGGCGACGACCAGGAACGAGACCCCTGCTTTCCCTGACCAGATACCCGACGCCCGGCGTTGAGTCGCAATCCCCGGAAGCGATCTGCAGTGTCCAGAACGACTCCGAGCTGGGCGAACTGCCCAACCACCAGATGAGGCACCCCCAGTCGCCGCACTACTTGGCGCCCCCCAGCGCTGCCTCGCTACACCCGCGATCGATCGTCCACGGCCGGAGTCACAGCAGGATCATCAGCCAGATGGTCTCGAAAGTCAAGAGGTGGGCGGCGCCACGGGAGCCTGGCTGGGCCCCGCTGATCCCCGCTGGCCCCGCAGGGGCTGGCGCCGACGCCTGCGAAGTAGGCTCCGCTCTCTCGGCGGCCCCTCCAGCGGCTGTCGCACCGCCTGCCAATTCCCGCTCCTCCCCAGCAAACCTCTCCACGCGGTTTTTCTGGGCCTCGACGTGGGGGCTGGTCTGGCCCAGCGCACCCCTGAAGATCTGGCCAAGAGCAACCTGCATGTGTTGGGCCGCCTCTCGCTTTCGCTTCTCCAACTCATCTTTGCCACGGTCTCCCAGCCCCAAATCAGCCAGCACAGCATCAGTGCCAAGGAAATCGCCCACAGAGAGCACCTCCTCGAGTTGGAGGGGCCCCTCCACCAACGCACGGAGGCTGATGGAAGATGGCGACGGCGGCTCTGCTGCCTTCTGCTGACCCTGCTGGATCTCTGCTTGCGAAGCGCTGACCTCGACGTCAACCTCAGCCAGCTCGGCCTTGAGGTCCGCGATGTGCTCGTATGTGATCAGTCAGCTCCTGCTGAGACTTCCTCCACTGATCCAGTTTCGCGCATTCTGCCTCGAATTTCTTCTCCCAGGCCGTATGGCGCTGCTCTGCCTGCTGCCAACGCCGGCGAGCCGGCGGGGTCTTCGGCTCCGCTGCCGTCGACCACGCGGCCAGCGCTGAATAGCGCTCGGCGCCTTCAGCGTCCCCCGCAGCGGCAGCCAGCGGAGCCAGCTCCCTGGCCTTCGCGGCGGAGTTCACCATCACAGACCAGGCGGAAGCGCATCACCGCCGTTGCCGAACTCGGGTCGATCCTCTCCCTTGCCCATGCCATTATTCCACTTGCCCTTGCTCACCTTTTCTTTGCCATGGCCCACTTTGGCCCCAGGATCCAGCACGACGAGGGACTGGGACTCTGGCTCAGGAGAGGGGCGGGCCAGGGACGCACCGCAGTGCTTACAGTACAGGGAGCATGTCGTGTCCATCTTACAGCCACAGCCCGTACACTTGACAAACTTCGCTCCCCCCGCAGAGGTATATCATCCATTGCCGTCGTCACTTGAAAGTGCCAAGGACATTGCAGTGGGCGTTGGCCACGAATATTCGCAAGATCCCCCCCACCTCCAACGACGGTTTTCCGCACCACCCAAGGCGAAGCAGCAGTCCAATGAAGACGAGCAGCACTCTCATCCCGACCACATCCGCCCGTCATGAAACCTGTTCACCCTCTGCAGGACACAGAAACAGCCGAACGAGCCAGTTGAACCGCAACGTCAATGCTTTTCTGAAGCTCGCTGTCGCAAGCCCCGAACCTAGGGCCAGAACGGCGGTGGAAGAAGAGGAGGAGAAGGAGAAGGATAAGGGAGAGAGGTGGGGGGAGGAAAAGAAAGAGGAGGAGGACGAGGAAGTGGAGGTTTTCTGAAGCAAAACCCGCCGTCGAGAGCGAGAGGACGACGAGGAGCAGCAGCGGCAGCAGAGGGAGGAGGATGGGGAGGGCTTCGGGACAGTGTAGACTGTTTGGCATGGCCCTAGTTTCTTGGGGGGTGTTCCAATGCCCTTCCTCTTCCCGTGAAGAGTAGCAGGTTGACCAGTGCAAACCCAAAGCCCATCAACGATGTTGCAATAAACCGTCCCTCCAAGCTCCCTCGTCACAGGCCCCCACAACGATTCATCTGTTATGAAGGAATGGCCCCGTTGTAAGACAACCGTATGGAATTCCTGCATCGTGCCCAAAAGAACAAACATTTCCTGGGATTTCGACGCCGCGAAAGAAAACATTTCTGTTGCGTCCTGACGATCCTGATTCGTACCAGAACACCACTCCTGGGACTTCAACACAGCGAATGTGACTGTTGTGCTATGACACTCCTACCTCATGCCAATACACCATGGTTGGGACGTCAACCAGAATAAACCTTGACACTGTTGTAGACACTTGAGCCGAATGTGCGCGTCGCTATGGCGATAACCACAGTTCGAAAAGGAACCACCCTCCGTCTTCGAGGCTGCTGCATAAGTTTAAGACGAAGGTGCGCGGCACTGGTGCCGGAGGCACATGTTGAAAACCACCCGCCCTCCATCCGTGAAGCTCTCGCAAACTTTTACAATGAATGCGCGCGGCGCTGCGACGAGAGCCACATTTTGAAAACGACCCGCCCTCCATCCATGATGGTCTTCCAACTTCTAAGCCAGATCATAAACGGTGAGAAAGTCTCAAGCGGAACGCCCAGCCCGCCCCACCGACGTCTCGGGGCGCGACAGGGGGGGAGGCACTTGTAAGGAGAAAGGATGGAGGAAGGCGGAAGGGGACATGCGCGGGCGGTTGGGGATTTCTGGGTGGGCTCACAGGAGTTACGGGCTCGAGGAGGGCCTACGAGGTTCTAGGAGGAGGGCCAGGAGGAGGACGCGGATAAAGAAATGAAGAAAGCGCGCCGGAGGCGTGCGCGTTCCGCGAGGGAGCCCACCCGTGCCCAATTTGGGCATGACGCGGAGGCCGTGGCCTCAAAAAAAAAAACGTGAGCCGATTCACGTGAAAGCCACCACTCAGTGCTCCCTGCCGCCGATAAGCATCGTAGGTCTTTAGTGCTGCGTTGCTCGTGCCGTCTCGGCATGGTCGCTGCCCGGATCTGGTCCCGCTCGGCGTCGGCGTCGCAGCTCTGCCCGCCCAAGCTGTGCAAAGGTGTCCGAATGTCGCCTTCCTATCTTTTTGGTTGCCCTCCATTTTGCCAGCGTCCAGGCTGTCGGATATTGAAGTTGGGGTTCCAACTCAGCACTCTCTGCGTCCAGCGCGTCGGCGTGTGGTGAGCCACAGTATTCGCACAGCGCCAGACCATTCGGCGGTGGATGTGTAGCACATCAGTTGCGTCACGCTTGAGCATCAGTGCTTCTTCCCTCCGCATGCTCCTGCGCATGAAGTAAGCCCACAACTCGACGTCGTCATCCTGGATAGTGTCTGGCTGTGTGCCCTCGTCATTGCTCACCTCATCATGCGCATCTGGCTGGCGGATGGGTGGGTTGCTGCAGACGTCGGATTCGCTGAAGTCGTTTGGGGCGTTGCTGCTAGTGTCATGGTTGTTGTTTTGGTTTGTCTCTGTATTGTGGTGGGGCCTCGGTGTTACTGCCGTGCGCCTTCCTCATGTTCCAGTTATCTATATGACCATCCGTCGTTGTGCTCGGCGTAGTTGCTGTTTGAGAGGCTTTGTCAGAGTCCACGTTTCTGTCGGAGGCTCTGTCAGAGGCGATGTCAGAGGAGGACATGGAAAATGAGGAGGCAATGGACGAGGGAGGAGCAGGAGGAGAAAGGAGGGGGGAGAGAAGAAGGAGGGGTACGTACAACTCGCGACGTCAGCATGGCCTTTTTCTCTGCCCAGCGAACACCGAGTGCTTGACGCCAAGAGCGCGGCTTACAACGGTAATCAGCAACATGCTCCACGAAAACGTAGACTTTCGGAGGTGAGCTTCGATCTTTTGGATCGGCGCTGGGCCCCCATCCATTGGCGCGCGGAGCCTGCCACGGGCGGCGCCGCCAGGCAGGGTTCAGCGCCGACCCATGAGATCCGCGAGTACGTCCGAAAGGCTGTACTCGTGCTGCCCTGTGTTCTGCGAGACAAGGATTGTGTCGGGCACGTCCTCCTACAGGCGGATTTGGAAGGAAAATTGAAATAGCCAACAAAAGTACACAAAGGTAATCAAAAACATTGGAAGAATCTTGCCCGTACCAATTTTTTGCTATTCTTACATGTTCCTCCTGCAGAGGGACGCGCCCGACTTGAGACAAGGGGCTCCCTACTCGGACGCGGGGACAAAGAGCGCCTCGATCTCGGGGACCCCACAGAAGTCCGCGAAGTGCGCCCTCCGATCGACCTCGCACACGGCCCGGTTGGCCAGCGCCTCTCGGCGGCGCGGCACCATGGGGGGGGGGCCAGGCGAGGGGGGGGCGACGGTGTACAGTCGGACCTACACCCTGCGAAATGCTTAAGAAATCATGGGTTAAGAAATTCATAGTCTCAGAACTTGAATAAAAACCTAAAGTTTCCATCGAAATCTTAGGATGTACATGGAAACGTTAAGAATAATCGAGACTCTGGCCGAAAACTTAGTCGCCTAAGGTGTAGGCCAGAAGAGCCCCCCTCAAAAACATGAGACCCTCCGTCGGCCGAACGCACGCACAGAACATCCGAGGGTGCCCTCCCCAGGATGCACAAGAAAATCCAAATCCAACAGGCACAGAGAGCTCCAGGGTCCCTCCCCGATCCGACCTCGATCTTATGCGTCGGCCCGACTGTAAGAGGGAAGGGTACCTTCTCGGAAAGGGCCAGCCACCCCTCAAAGGCTTCTGGATGCAGCGCGAGACTGGCACCGCGCTGCGATGAGCTCCGGGTGCGCTCCAGGAGTTCCGGCGCATCCGGCGGCCCTCGTCCCACGGAGCCCCCGCACGGAGCAGCAGGGAAGCCTGCAAGTCTTGGAGCGCATCCCCGCCACGGCCCCCTGCTTCTTTGGGCAGGGCCTCCTGGAAGCCTCGAGGTGCGCGGGGCTGCCCTCCCAGAGGGGCCGCCGCCGCCCCCCTCGCCCCGGCCCCGCCCCCGCGCGACGCCGCTCCTCCAGGTGCTTCTCCCCGTAGTAGTCGTGGGTCCACCTGGCCGGCTCCGGAAGCCCTGGACCCACAGAGCCAGGCTTTGCTTCCGCCCCCTTCCGCCGAGCATCCGCTGGCGGATGCGCCCTCGTTCCACCCCCGCCGGCTTCCACTGGCCTTCCGCCGCCCTGCGCAGGGGAAAGGATGCCCACCTTCTCGACCCCTCGAGTACGGGAGGCCCTTTCTGGAGCGCCCTGCCTGGCGAGCTTGAACGAGGGCATGCGCGGGCAGCCCGCCGGCGAGAGGATGTAGCAACCCGGCTTTGCAGGCGCGAACGCCCTCGTGTCCACCAGCGCCACAGGCGCCGCAGCTGCCTGCCCCGAATTCGGGAAGGCCACCACTGCACAGACCCAACGTGCACCCTCCCCCTCCTGGAGGACTGGAGGCCTCCCAACGATGCGTCGGCGATGCGGCGCGATGCTCCGACACTAACACGCTCGGGCCGCCAGTGGACGGCCTGGAGAAACGGGAACTGGAACTGGAAGAGGGGAGAGGACCTGATTAGACATCGGACATCGTCGCGTTTCAAGCGGCACGGCCCCCCACAGGTCTGGACTCCTGCCCCAGGGAACGGCCCCTCACCCAACGGGCGCTTGAGGGATGCGTGGTGCAAGCTCACGGCGTGGTGCGGGCTGCGCGGGATACGCGCTGCACCGAGCGCACAGGACGCCCACGAGGCGCCCACGAGGCGCCCACGGGCGGCCACGGGCGGGCGCCGCGAGAACCCGCGGCACACCCGCCAGGGCACAAGGCGCCCACGAGGCGCCCACAGGCGGGCACACCCATGCAGCGCACGGGGCACCTGCGGGGCGCCCACGGGTGGGCACCACCCCGGGCACCAGGCGAAACCCCGGCACACCCACTAGGCAGGTAGCCGGAGAAAGAGCCCCGAGTTCAAGCACCGCTTGAGGAAATCCGCCGATCTGGCGCGTGAGTTCCAAAGACCCTCAGAACTGCCTGAGCCTCAACTCCCGAGCTTCAGCTCTGCTGGAGGGTGGGTGCCAGGGTGGCTCTGCCTGGGTACGGGGAGGGGGGGGGTCGATTTAATTCCCGGGGCGGAATCGGAGCTCCAACTCACTCCGGGACGGCCCCCTCGCCCAGGAAGGCCCCAAGATAGGCCAAGAGGGCCCCGAATCGCCGAACGATCGCTACAAGACGCCCAAGATGTCTCCAAGACGGCTCCAGAAGCTTCCAAGATGCCCTCAGAAGCCCAAAGAAGCAACAAGTGTCCCATTCCCGAAGGAAAACGTTTTTTTTACATTTTCGCCCCCAGTGCCTTCAGAGCGTCGCAGACGCCCCAAGAAGCCGCCAAGAGGTCTCCAAGACGGCCCAAGAAGGGCACAGGATGGCCCAGGAGGCCCCTGGAAGGGCCCAAGAGGGCCCAAGGACGGGCTCAAGAGGCGCCTGAGAGGGCGCCAAGACGGCGGAAGAAGCGCCGAAGACGGCCCAAGAAGCCCCCAGCAGGCCCCCAGAGGTCCCAAAGAGGCCTGAAGAGGCCCCGAGACGCTTCCAACTGGCCCCGAAGTGGCCCCCTAAAGCCCCCTAACGGCCCCCAAGAGTGTCAAACATGCATCCAAGAAGCCTTCAACATGCCTCCAAGCTGCCTCCAAGACTCCCCCCGAGAAGCCCCAAACCGACCCCAATGCTTCCACAACGCTTACGTCTGAACACAATCGCTGCAGTACAAAAGGTTTTTCCACGCTTTCACATTTTCTCCCGTCCTCGGTGTCCTTCACATCCATGATCCCACAAGGGTCCGCAAAAGACCGCGCGGAGGCCCCAGAGACCCCAAAAACACCATGGTTCCCAGCAGAGGCCGGTGACGCACAAGGCTCCACAAAGAACTGCGACGCAGACAGCTCCAGCGTAAAGCTTTTTAGAAAGTGCGCCAGATCGGTGAGGTGTCAGCCAACAAAAAAAAAAAACCTGGCCCCAAAGAGACTTTCCAACAACCGCCGGACATCTCCAACAACCGCCGAAAATCTCCTTATCCTCGTCATGCTCCTCCTTCTCCCCTCCTTTCCCCCTCTTCCCCTTCCCGTTTCCTCCTGCCCCTCCTCATCCTCAACATCCTGCTACTCCTGCCCCTCCCCCCCCACCCCCCTCCACTTCATCATGATCCTCCTCCTCCTCCTCATCCTACTCCGTTGCCTCCATTCCCAATCCTCATCATCATCTTCACCGCTCGCCGTCGTCGCCGGTCATGACCGCCATCGCGCGCTTCCAGCAGCAACGGAAGCGTCCCCGATCGGCGGCACTGGCCGGAGGCCACTACAATAACCCAGACAAACTTTCGGAGGTCCGCGCGGACTCCTTGGATCGGCGCTGAACCCCAGAGGCGCCGACAGGGGGAGCCAGACGACGAGCCAAGAGATCCGCGCGGAACTCTGAAAGCCTATGCTTATGCCGATCTCGCTTCTTCGACTCCAAAGTCGGAGCATGACAGGTGTGCCTCTTTTGGCATGTCTGTGTCGATGGGGCGGCGGTGCGCCTCGTGGATGCTGTGAGGCGTGAGCGCCTGATTGATGCGTCTTTGGGCGCGTGAGGCGGCTTACTCTTCTTCTCGTGCTGGCCTGCGGGTCCAGGGACGCCGCCTCCTCACCCGCCGCAGTGGCCGGCTCCTCCGAGCCCGGCTCCGTGCTGGCCTGCGGGTCCAGGGACGCCGCCTCCTCGCCCGCCGCCGTGGCCGGCTCCTCCGAGCCCGGCTCCGTGCTGGCCTGCGGGTCCAGGGACGCCGCCTCCTCCTCGCCCGCCGGCGGGTTCGCGCCAGCCTGCGGGTCCAGAGGCGCCTCTTCCTCCTCGCCCGCCGGCTGGCTGCACGCAAGAAGTGGCCCTCCCAGGCGAGAGTGACCGTTGGTTCGCGGCTTCAGGGGGCCTCGGGGGGGGCCAAGTCCAAGCGCGCAAGCCCGTGCCGGGGGGACAGCGGAAGGCGAGCACGAGAGGCCACTCCAGCGAAGGGTCACTCTTATACGCGTAGCCGCGTCGGCGCGGCCGGCTCCTGCGAGGCTGGCTTCGTGCTGGCCCGCGGGTCCAAATACGCCTCCTCCTCCTCGTCCGTCGGCGTGGCCGGCTCCACCGAGCCCAGCTTCGCGCCGGCCTGCGGGTCCAGGGACGCCTCTTCCTGTGGCGGGCGAAGAACGGTGCACAATCTTTCCCCCAACAGTGCTTGCACTCAGGGGTTCTCGCTTGCGTTCTGAGGTAAGTGAGCTCCGGTGGCGGTCTGGCTGGCTTCAGACCACCCGTCGCCGCCCGTCGCCGCCGTCGCCGCCGGGTCCCAGCGGCGGTCTGGCCAGCTTGTGGCCGCCCGTCGCCGCCACTTGCGCCGCGGTGCTTTAAACATTGCTTTGCATGGTTTGGCATGGCTTGGCATTGCATTGCATGGTTTTGCATTGCAATGCACTGCGTTGCCTTGCGTTGCGTTGATTTGGATTGACTTGCATTGCTTTGGAGTGCTCTGTATGTGTTTGCATGCATTGCGTTGCAGTGTTATGGATTGCTTTGCATTGATTTGCATTGCCGTGCATTGTCTTGCATTATATTGCGTTGCTCTGCATTGATTTGCACCACGGAAGTTGCACTACATGGATTGCACCACCTAGATTGCACCACATTGATTGCACCACCTAAGTTGCACTGCATACAGTGCAAGAGATGACTGTTTGGGGTCCACGCTGGCTATAGTACAAATTGACGAATACGAATATGAGCTGGCGATAAGAACAAACATGAACATAACCCTGAGTATGAATACGAATACGAATACGAATACGAATGCGGTTATTGAAAGAATATGAATATGAATGTGAATACGGATATGGATGCGACTGCTGAAGTGAATACGAAGATGCATGTGAGTACTTAAATGGATCGGACTTCACAAATCAATATCAAGATGAATATGAAGATGAATATGACTACGAGTACATACGAACATGGGTACGAATAGGAATACGAATGCGAACATGAAAGCACATTTGAATATGAATGTGTATGTGAATATGGGTACGCGTATGGATATGAACATGGATATGAAAACGAATACGAGTATGAATATGTATGCGAATCGGAATACGAACATGACTACGCATAGAGAAACGCAGATGGAGATGACTATGACCTCGAATATGAAGATGACCTGCTCCACCATCGGTGGCGCCTGGACGGCTGAAAAAAGTCTATATCCCCACGTGCCGCCACCAGGGTATCGACTTCCCATCCGTCCTGGAACAGTCGCCCCCGACGAGGGAAAACAAATTTTATGTCGGGCGAGTCCCCCTACAGGGGGATTTTCGACGAAAAATACAGAATACCCCCAAAATAATAATAAAAAAAAAAAAAAAAAAAAAAAAAAAAAAAAAAAAAAAAAAAAAAAAAAAAAAAAAAAAAAAAATCATCCAGGGACTATCTTTTGAGCCTTTGTTAACCATTTTGGGATATTGTTTGAATGTTTTTTACTGTTCGTCGAAAATCCCCCTGTAGGGGGACACGCCCGACTTCAAAGAAATTTGATACCGCCCTTCGTGCGCCAACTGCCTTCTCCTCCGACGAATCGGCCAGCTCCTCCGAGCCCGGGCCCGTGCCAGCCTGCGGGTCCAGGGACGCCGCCTCCTCCTCACCCGCCGCCGTGGCGGGCTCCTCCGAGCCCGGCTCCGTGCTGGCCTGCGGGTCCAGGGACGCCGCCTCCTCCTCGCCCGCCGGCGGGTTCGCGCCAGCCTGCGGGTCCAGAGGCGCCTCTTCCTCCTCGCCCGCCGGCCGGCTGCACGCAAGAAGTGGCCCTCCCAGGCGAGAGTGACCGTTGGTTCGCGGCTTCAGGGGGCCTCGGGGGGGGCCAAGTCCAAGCGCGCAAGCCCGTGCCGGGGGGACAGCGGAAGGCGAGCACGAGAGGCCACTCCAGCGAAGGGTCACTCTTATACGCGTAGCCGCGTCGGCGCGGCCGGCTCCTGCGAGGCTGGCTTCGTGCTGGCCCGCGGGTCCAAATACGCCTCCTCCTCCTCGTCCGTCGGCGTGGCCGGCTCCACCGAGCCCAGCTTCGCGCCGGCCTGCGGGTCCAGGGACGCCTCTTCCTGTGGCGGGCGAAGAACGGTGCACAATCTTTCCCCCAACAGTGCTTGCACTCAGGGGTTCTCGCTTGCGTTCTGAGGTAAGTGAGCTCCGGTGGCGGTCTGGCTGGCTTCAGACCACCCGTCGCCGCCCGTCGCCGCCGTCGCCGCTGGGTCCCAGCGGCGGTCTGGCCAGCTTGTGGCCGCCCGTCGCCGCCACTTGCGCCGCGGTGCTTTAAACATTGCTTTGCATGGTTTGGCATGGCTTGGCATTGCATTGCATGGTTTTGCATTGCAATGCACTGCGTTGCCTTGCGTTGCGTTGATTTGGATTGACTTGCATTGCTTTGGAGTGCTCTGTATGTGTTTGCATGCATTGCGTTGCAGTGTTATGGATTGCTTTGCATTGATTTGCATTGCCGTGCATTGTCTTGCAATGCACTGCGTTGCTCTGCATTGATTTGCACCACGGAAGTTGCACTACATGGATTGCACCACCTAGATTGCACCACATTGATTGCACAACCTAAGTTGCACTGCATACAATGCAAGAAATGACTGTTTGGGGTCCACGCTGGCTAGAATACAAATTGACGTATATGAATATGAGCTTGCGATAAGAACAAACATGAACATAGCCCTGAGTATGAATACGAATACGAATACGAATACGAATACGAATACGAATACGAATGCGGTTATTGAAATAATATGAATATGAATGTGAATACGGACATGGATGCGACTGCTGAAGTGAATACGAAGATGCATGTGAGTACTTAAATGGATCGGACTTCACAAATCAATATCAAGATGAATCTGAAGATGAATATGACTACGAGTACATACGAGCATGGGTACGAATAGGAATACGAATGCGAACATGAAAGCACATTTGAATATGAATGTGTATGTGAATATGGGTACGCGTATGGATATGAACATGGATATGAAAACGAATACGAGTATGAATATGTATGCGAATCGGAATACGAACATGACTACGCATAGAGAAACGCAGATGGAGATGACTATGACCTCGAATATGAAGATGACCTGCTCCACCATCGGTGGCGCCTGGACGGCTGAAAAAAGTCTATATCCCCACGTGCCGCCACCAGGGTATCGACTTCCCATCCGTCCTGGAACAGTCGCACCCGACGAGGGAAAACAAATTTTATGTCGGGCGAGTCCCCCTACAGGGGGATTTTCGACGAAAAATACAAAATACCCCCAAAATAATCAAAAAATAATGCAAAAATGATCCAGGGACTATTTTCTGAGCATTTGTTAACCATTTTGGGATAGTGTTTGAATGTTTTTTATTGTTCGTCGAAAATCCCCCTGTAGGGGGACACGCCCGACTTAAAAGAAATTTAGTACCGCCCTTCGTGCGCCAACTGCCTTCTCGTCCGACGAGTCGGCCGGCTCCTCCGAGCCCGGGCCCGTGCCGGCCTGCGGGTCCAGGGACGCCGCCTCCTCACCCGCCGGCGTGGCAGGCTCCTCCGAGCCCGGGCCCGTCCCGGCCTGCGGGTCCACGGACGCCGCCTCCTCCTCGCCCGCCGGCGGGTTCGCGCCAGCCTGCGGGTCCAGAGGCGCCTCTTCCTCTGGCGGGCGAAGAAAGGTGTACAATGTTTCCCCCAACAGTGCTTGCCTTTCCCCACGCAGTGCTTGCACTCAGGGGTTCTCGCTTGCGTTCTGAGGTAAGTGAGCTCTGGTGGCGGTCTGGCTGGCTTCGGACCACCCGTCGCCGCCCGTCGCCGCCGTCGCCGCTGGGTCCCAGTGGCGGTCTGGCCAGCTTGTGGCCGCCCGTCGCCGCCACTTGCGCCGCGGTGCTTTAAACATTGCTTTGCATGACTTGGCATGGCTTGGCATGGTATTCCATTGCATTGCATTGCCTTGCATTGCCTTGCATTGCGTTGCGTTAATTTGAATTGACTCGCATTGCATTACATTGTATTGCATTGTCTTGTGTTACATTGCATTACATTGCACTGCGTTGAGTTGCATTGCATTGCACTGCTCTGTATTGCTTTGCATTGCTGTGCATTGACTTGTATTGTTTTGCATTGCCTCGCGTTGCCTTGCATTGCTGCGTATTACTTTGCAGTGACTTGCATTGCCTTGCATGAGATTGCATGCGATTGCATTACTCTGCACGACAGATATTGCACCACATGGATTGCACCACCTAGATTGCACCACCTAGGCTGCACCGCATCAATTGAAAGACTAAACATTCGCACGCGCACTCCGCGCGCGCTCTGTTTCTAGGTAGCCCTAGACCTTGGAAGCAAGCGCAACGGCTGCAACGGAAGCGGTAAGCTCTCTAGGAGCGCTCGCGGGCTTGTCTCGACAGTGCTTGCGTACCTGTTTTACTTGTTCTGCACAGATGTGCGCGTCAGATGTGTCATCGCCCTGCGCGTTCCCCCTGCTACCTCTCGTCCTGGGCTGGTGGGGATACACGAAGCGTCAAGAACTCCTGCGTTACTCAGCTCCCAAGTTCCTCGTTTCGTAGGTTACTAATTTCGTAGGTTCCTCAGCTGATGGGCTCCTGGTTTCCGAAGTTCCTGAGTTCCTGAGTTCCTAAGTTCCTCCGCTCTTAGAAGGCAGCTGAAAGGAGGTTGGATGTAGGGACGCTGGAGGGAGGGAGGATGGAGAGATAAACGCAGCTGGAGGAATGCTGGATGAACGAATGGAACTCGATGGAGCCCCAGGTCGGAGCCAATGCTCCTGCAAATACGACTCTCGAACCCAGGACTCCGACGCCGTGATTTTCTCAAAGCGGATTGTTTCCGCCAATCTCGGCCTGCGGAGGCCTAAATCCGAGTCCTGCCCACACTCACGTATTCCAGCCCGTTATCCTGCAAAGCTTCGTTCTCCTCCTTCTCCTCTCTCCCATCATCCTCCTAGCGCCCCCTTTCCCCGTCCACCTCCGTTTCCTCCTTCTGATCCTGATCGTCCTCAACCTCCTCCTCCTGCTCCTCCTCCGCCTCAACATCGTCATCATCATCATCATCATCATCATCATCATCATCATCATCATCATCATCATCATCATCATCATCATCATGACCATCAGCATCAACACCACCAACATCATCATCATCAGCATCATCATCAGCATCCTCATCCTCATCCTCATCATCATCATCAGCATCATCAGCATCATCGTCATCATCATCATCCTCATCCTCATCATCCCCATCCTCATCCTCATCCTCATCCTCATCAGCATCATCAGCATCACCGCCACCACCGTCATCATCATCATCATCATCAGCAGCAGCAGTAGCATCGTCATCATCAACATCGTCATCATCATCAGCATCAGCATCCTCAGCATCATCATCATCATCAGCACCAGCATCAGCATCGTCGTCATCATCATAGTTGGCATTATCATCGCCAATCGTCGTCATCGTTGGCATCGTCATCAGCGTCGTCAGCAGCATCACAATCATCATCATCGTCATCATCGTCCGCAGCATCAGCATCAGAATCATCATCAGAAGCAGCAGCATCATCATCAACAGCAGCATCATCACCAGCATCATCACTATCATCAGCATGTGTGGACGCCATGGCAATGGAAACTCTAGCAGTCCCCTCGTGGAATCAGAAATGCTTTAAATGTGTTAAACATGTGTTCAAGCGTTCTAGCAAATACTTGTACTGTTGTAGAGCATGTGCAAAACATGTTTCATACATCTGGGAATTATGTTGGCAGTATGCCTCCTCTCCATTGATCGTCTTCCACCATCAGAACCATCATCCCCGTCGTCATCATCGCTGGCATCATCATAAGCATCATCGTTATCATCCTCGTAATCCTCCTGATCATCATCGTCATCATCATCACCACCACCACCATCAACATCATCATCAGTATGACCATGATCGTCATCATCCGCACCATTCTCGCCAGCATCGTCATCATTCTCGTCGGCATCGTCAGATTTCTGACGCCCTTCAGGGGCCCCCAGTAGCCGACAATAACGCACAATACGTCTGTGCACGCCCTAACACCTGCATGCTGTCGTCCGAAGAAAAGACAAGGGGGGGACAGCAAGGCAGGGGAAACAGAAAGGAGGGAGGGGAGGGCGGAGGGAAGGAGCAGGAGGGGACAGCGAAGAGCGGCGGCAGCGGCGGCGACGACAACGACGACGACGAGAACGAATAGTTACAGCTCGGGAAAGCACCGCGGACCTCCTCGCTTGTTCTGATACACTCCACCAGAAATCGGGCCCGCAAAACACTTGCAAATGCGTTTGGAAGTCCATGCAGAAACACATAACGGGCACAGAACGGTGTTTCTCAAAGGCGCGGAGGTCCCCCCAGTCAAAAACAAGCCCCAGGACCCAAAAATGTCATCCCGGAGAAATCGACTCGAAAAAACACACGCAACGCGATAGGAATTCTTGGATACATGTGGCCTCGCACAATTTCGATGTCGAGCATTCGGGATTTCACTGGGACGCCCCTGACCCTTCAAGAAACAAACCGCGTTAGATTCCCCTTGTTCACAGGGACGATCTGGGTGCTCCAAGTTTGAGCTGGACAATACGGACCGACCAAGTAGCACGAGCCCCAGAGGGTTCAGCGCTACTGGCACGAGCCCCAGAGGGTTCAGCGCCAAACGACTGCGAGCACAAGGGTTCGGCGACCCCAGCTTGAGTTGCACAAGACCCGGAGAGCTCAGCGCCACTGGCACGAGCCCAGGAGGGTTCAGCGCCAGGTGATTGCAAGCACGAGCCCTGCAGGGTTCGGCGCCCCCACCTTGAGTCGCACGAGCCCCAGAGAGTTCAGCGCCACTGGCACGAGCCTCGGAGGGGTCAGCGCCAGATAACCGCGAGCACGAGCCCAGAAGGGTTCAGCGCCCCTAGCTTGAGTAGCACGGGCCCCAGAGAGTTCAGCGCCAATGGCACGAGCCTCGGAGTGCTCAGCGCCAGGTGACTGCGAGCACGAGCCCCAGAGGGTTCAGCACCCACAGCCGATGTAGCACGAGCCCCAGAATGTTCAGCGCTACTGGCACGAGCCCCAGTGGGTTCAGCGCCTGGCGACTGCGAGCACGAAACCCGGAGGGTTCAGCTCCCCCGGTGAAAATAGCACGAACCCCGGAGGGTTCAGCGCTACTGGCACGAGCCCCAGTGGGTTCAGCGCCGGGCGATTGCGAGCAAGAGCCCCAGAGGGTTCGGCACCCCCAGCTAAAGTAGAACGAGCTCTGAAGGGTTCAGCGCCATGGTTTTGACCCAGGCCATGGACACCAGATCGACAGTTCAACAAAATCTCGTGTTTCAAAACATAGACAACCTGGACATGAGCAAACCCAGCACGAGCCCCTGAGGGTTCTGCGCCAGGCGACTGCGAGCACGAGCCCTGAAGGGTTCAGCGCTCCCAGCGTGCGCAGCACGAGCCCCTGAGGGTCCAGCGCTACTGGCAAAAGCCCCAGAGGGTTCAGCGCCAAACGACTGCGAGCACGAGCCTCAGAGGGTTGAGCGACCCCAGCTTGAGTTGCACGAGCCCCGAAGGGTTCTGCGCCGGGCGATTGCGAGCACGAGCCCCGTAGGATTCAGCGCTCCCAGCGATCGTAGGACGAACCCCAGAGATTTCAGCGCTACTGGCACGAGCCCCTGAGGGTTCAGCGCCATGGTTTTCAGACGCCCCAGGTCCCCGGCCCGAAAATCTCTGAGGAATGCCTGGCAATCGCGGCCCGAGCCCCGAAGGGTTCGGCGCTGGGCGGCTGCGAGCGCGAGCCCCAGAGGGTTCAGCGCCCACATCCAATGTAGCACGAGCCCCAGAGGGTTCAGCGCTACTGGCACGAGCCCCAGAGGGTTCAGCGCCACAGATCGAGAACACGCGTGCATGCTCCGTCTCCTCCTGCACAGGCAATCCGGGACCCGACGTGGAAGAAGCGTTCGGCAAGATTCAACGGGCATTCAAAACGAATTCTCGCGTCAGTGGCCACGCGGCAGCGTGACCCTGGGGGGACCAGAAGTGACGCCTGGACCCGAAAACCACCCATCGCAATGCTGTCAGATCTGCACGTCCGTATCCAGTCATGCTTACTCGTGTTTTTTGGAACCCTGTGTTTATAGCGCGTCTCCAACATCGTCATCGTCATCCTACTCCTCCTATTCATCCTCCTTTCTTCTTTCTTTCATGTGTTGCTACTTCCCGCATCAGAGTTTGCCTCTGTAGGGGTCCTAGCGGACTCATGTAGGTAACCTATGTCGCCGATTTCGGTGGCCGGGCCCGGGTGCCAAGGGTGCCTGGGGGGGCCGGGAGCCCGAGTGCCCGGGTGGGTGCCTGGGTGCTCGGGTGCCCGGGTGCCCGGGTGCCCGGGCGCCCAGTAGCCCTCTAGCCCTATAACCTTATAGCCGTATAGCCTTATGCTCTATAGCTCTAGAGCCCTATAGCCTCATAGCCTCAGAGCCCTATGGACCTAAAGCCCTAATAGCTTCACAGCCCTATAGCCCCATAGCCCTATAGCCCTAATAGCCCGATATAGCCTTTTAGACCTATAGCCCTCGAGCCCTATAGCCTTTTAGCCCTGTAGTCCTGTAGCCCTATAGCCCGATAGCCCTGTAGCCCTATAGCC